ACTTACTCCTGCCATCTACTCTATGTAAGTTGCTGGAATCTTTCAATGGGCCATGTTCTTATCATACCCCTCTTCTTCTCAAACAAGAGTCTTTCGTGGAACAATTTTCAATAACAGTTTTCAAAAACCTACACGTCATAATTTCATCCATTTCACTTCGGTTGATTTTTTTTCACTTTGAAGTATTTTGACATTCCTTGAGGAAAAGTAATTTTTATTAGGTGTTTTTTAATTTTAGATTTTCTTTTGTTTTTCTGATTTCTCAATGTTTATTTTCATTATGGTTTTAAATATTTAGGTTTACAGGGGTCTGCATATGTAATTTTCCTTAATTTTTCATTAATGGCCTTCATCCGGCCCGTGGGGCTGAATGAGTTGCCGACCCCCTGGTTTAATAGAACAATATACAAGATATTAATTGGCATTTTGACGACGGCAGCACACATTTTATTCACAGTTTCATGTTTCATTCGTCTTTCTGAGCATGTGCAAAGATTTAAAGAAACATGACAATGAAGAAAACAATACTAAAGCCGATATCGTCTTTCTTCGCAAAATCAAACAAAGTAGAAATGCTGAATGAAACTGAGACTCAAAAGAATGCCCCAAATGATAAACAAGGTAATGATGACACACAAAGGGAAAGTAAGCCGTCCATTATAGGAGAATTCCGACAACTTCGTTACTATAGAGAAAAAAACGTGATGTATTGTGATTTGTGTCGTAGGGCTGGTTCAACTTTAGCTAGAAAAACTGATTTTGTAGATGGTAGTACTAAATCTAAACGTGAAAACGTCCTTGCCCATAAAAAGAGTCTTAGACACGGCAAGTGCTGTGACTTTATCATTAATAAAACAAGCAAACAGTCAATTGAAAAGTCTCACATTGCCAAGAAATTTCTCGTTGCAGAAATCAAATCAAACGAAAAGGATTTGACGGATTTGAAAGTTAAATTTAACACAGTATTGTATAGGGAAGGAAGAAATGGCCTTTACAAAACTCAAGCCCCTACTCTTACTTCAATACAAAAATGGGCTACCTGTGACACCTGCATACAGTAACGATGTTAGGTGTAGTGAAATGATGTCTATTATTGCAAGCACGATCAGAGATGAGACATTGGAATCTATCAGTGATGCTCATTATGTGTCAGTTATGATTGATGGTGCCACTGACAGCTCTGTGTCAGAAAATGAAGCAGTTTATGTGAGAACAGTGTTGAATGGCAAAGCAGAAAATAAACTTGAAGTTATTGCCATTGAACATGGCCATGCTAAAGGCATTATCTCTGCTACTAAATCTGCTCTTTCAAAAGTGGGGATCAGTGATGATGAAATGTCATTGAGAATTGTTGGGTTTTGTGTAGATGGGGCAAATGTGAATACAGGACAGAGGAATGGTGTTGTGGCTGCAGGATGCAATATGGAAGTTGTTCAGACACATGAAATGGAGACACATGAAATTCTTTGTTGCAAATACTTTCAGGGACAAGTCTTATTCTGATCTGTGGCAAATCCTACTGACCAAGGACCCATACAAGACTGACCTCTGCAATGTACTTCATCTTGTGAGAATAATGCTCACTCTTCCAATCAGCTCTGCAGAGTGTGAGAGAGCCCTTTCTGCACAGAAGAGAATAAAGAGCGACATACGGAGCCGCTTGTCTGTACAGAGACTGTCAGACTTAATCTTGCTTTCTTCTGAAGGTCCAGATCTGGCTGAATTCAACCCAGAGAAATCCATTGACATGTGGATGGCAAACAGCAGGAGAAGGATTGCTGGGGGGCCAGGACAGTGTGACTGGCCAGCTAACATTGTGTCCGTTGATCGAAAGTGTAAGGACAAAGCAGTACTGTTTGAAAACAAAAAGATTTAGTCACAAGCTATTGATTTGACAATTCAAATTGAGCAAGTGTTAAAGTGGGACTAGAAATTGGAATAAAAAGGTAAATGCAATTCAATATTGGGCAAATGGAGTTATAAATTTTAAAAAGATAAAATTTTAGTTTGAAACAGATAGAAATAAGTTCAATGTCAGTAACACAAAGACACAGTATGTGTTTCCAGACCATCTGGACATTTCCCTTTCCAGTCCCACTTTAAGATCTTAGATCAGCATTACTATTAGTTAATATTTCTCAGTGACATTTACCAACCTGATAGGGAAATTGAAAATAAGGTAAAAACCTGTTAAGAGTGTTACAATAACTGCAAATCATGACTGAATATTACTAAATGACATTTTTGCCAGTTAACAGGTGAATTGAATGTAATGTTTTTATGAGGTGGTGGTGGTTGTTGTTGTTTCAGGTTTAATAATATTGAAACTGATGCGATCTTCAAACTTGCATTTGTCAGTTGACTGAATTATCCTGAGTGATATTTGCCAGGTAACTGTAAACAGTTCTACAGTTTCTAGACTCAATATAATGTATTTATGATCTTTTTGTTTGAGGTTGTTTAGTAATATTGAAACTGATGAGATCTTGAAGACTTCAAATTTGCATTTAAATTTTGCCAGTAAGTTTACTGAATATTTCTAAATGACACCTTTCAAAGCTTGCCAGGTAACAATTGAAGTGAATGTAATGTCTTTATGAGGTTGTTTCAAGTTTAGTAACAAATATTGAAACTGATGAGATCTTCAAACATGTATTTGCCAGTTGATTGAATTATTCTAAGTGATATTTGCCAGGTAACAGTACCATTGAATGTAATTGTTTCTTGTAATTTCTAAATTTCCTCCCATAAATTTCAGCTGTATTATCTTAGACAATTAGAAAATAAAACAAAACTTCACCTGGAATTGTTTTATTCATAACATTAGAGTGAAATAACATTACATGGATTTGGCTAGTAACTTTTCTATTTGGCTAGTAAATGAAAATATTTAGTTGTCAAAGGTCAACTAAAGGTAAATTTGTCCATAGAGCCCTGAATTACTTTGCAGTTTTTGTCAACATACCATAGATTGGACCCTGAGGGACACACTTGTGGATCATCAGTAACTGCTGAAGCACAAAACAAAAACCACACACATTTGTAAAAACTGCAATAACCAGCATGGAGCAATGATGCGATTTCCAACATGATTTTGGGCATATTATGGCAAGTGCTGACATAACACTAGTAAAAACTACAAAAATGAAACCATTTTTGAAGAAGTATTGCCCCAAGGAAGTGTGACTGGAGAATCTTCATCAGGTGCACATGCCTCGACATTGGTTCTTACTCAGCTCTCAGTGGACTTGAAGCTCCCACCCACAAATTATGGGATGAATGAGATGCTGACATCGCAGCTGCAATGGCTGCCAAAAAGGACAAAGTGTTACTGGACAACCTGAATTTGTACACATACTGGCAATCCATGACTCATCGCACCCCCAATTTGGGTAAAGTAGCCATGGATTTGATATGGACAAGCGCCACATCCATGGACTGTGAGCACACATTCTTGCAGTGCAATAGCCACCTCAGCGACAGGTGGGAAATATTGACAGAGGGACACACCAAACAGTTCCTAATATTGAAAATTAATGATGACATAGAAGGCCACATGACTTTGTAGGACAGGTAAGTAGGTTATATACACTTTTATGTTTTAATGTTTACACATGTCTTTATGATTTTTAAACAGAAAATTGAAATTCATGGTCATAGAACATTGAGAACTTGCCACTAACTTAAAACCATAAGCTACTATTTACATCTTAAAAACAAAATCTAAGTTCTTTTTTTGTGGACTATATTCTTTGCTAGTTAAGCTCTACAAAGAAAAAGAATTGTTATAATTACCCACAATATATAAAAATTAACAGAAAATTTTATGAAATATCTAAAATAAGTATTATAAAAAGTCATTTATTTTTGATTGATCGATTTGTTTTCTACAGCTTTGCAAGTAATTTAAAGCCAAAAAATATTTTTTAGATCTTATAAGGGGAGGGGGGGTGTTAATGGTTTTAGTGATACAAATCTTACTAATTAACCCATAGCTGGGAGTGGGTAGAAGAAGTGGATTCATACCTTTCCTAAGATTATTTATGCATAAGTGAATAGAACAAACCCAATGGAAAACTTGACTCCCCGATTAAGAATTCTGAACCATTATCCATTACACTACCTGCATATCCAAGCTTACGACACCAGGTATTCCCAAGCAATTACCCATCAAGGTAATGACCAGGCTTGATGAGGTTTAGCTTTGGTGATTATACAGGAACCTGTGTTTCAATGTGATGTAGCCATAAGCCAAGAAGTTATTTTAAAGAAATCAATTTCATGTTAAACAACAAGAGCACAATGAGAGAAGTATCAATATTAGTCACTTGATTTATTTCTAAGAGATTAAAATAAGGGATGTTAGGAAATATACAAAAAGTGTATTGAAAATAATCTCAGACAGACCATCTTCACAAAATCTGATAAAATAACATTAAAATTTTGGGGGACTCCTCTTGATCAAAGCAAGAACTTTTTAGAACTCACTCTAAAAAAGAGTATTTAAATTTTATCTAGAATACTGAACAACATACAAGTATCTGTTTTTAAAATATTTATTCTCAATCACAATATACAGTGCACATGTTGGAGCACATCAGTTATATTAATACCGAATTCATTGATAGTTTTGGATCTTTCAACATCATTGATCACATGACAGTACATGTCCCAACATTTAACATTTAGTGTATTATATTACTTCAACAAAGAATAAGTATAAACAATAGCGGTGCCAAATTTGTAACAACTGATCAGTGTACCAGGCAACAGGAATCACTCTTTCCCATTAGTTTTGTCTATAACACAAGACAGCATCAAACTAATTTTCAGTCCTCCAATGAACAGAAAATAAACTTTGTAGAGACATGAATAAAATGCAAATTGTAAAAAATATTTAACAAAATCTAATTTAAAAGGCATGGTTCATAATTTTCAATACATACATTGGCAGGTGGAGTGGGGGCATGAAAATAACTTTTTGAAAAAGAAATATTTACCTCTGCCAATAATGGAATATATCTTCAAGTTTGACATCTTGCGATTCATGTAATTTCTGAAAAATAAAATTCCAGTATTCTTCAGATTATTTCAAGGAAAAAAAAATTTTTAAAATCTCATTACAATGGGATACATAGTAACAATGGTCACAGGTGTCTGCTGTCACAAGCCATTAACAGTTCATTTCTCTGGGAAAGCTCCATGGATATGACCTTATGCCTAATTTGATGTATCTACACCAGGATAGTGATAAGCAATTTTTTTTGGTCTTATATTTCTATTGGAGGTGAGAGAATGAAAGTATATATTACCAAAGCATAATTTTAGAATTATTACACTTTTCTAACAAAAAAAGTGGATAGAAAAAAAAGGAAACCGTCAAAGAAATCTATTTTTACCTGAAAAAGAAAGCCTAGATAGTTCATTCACAAATGAAACAACCCATTCTAATGACTCAGTGGGTCAGATATTGTAGATATTTGATGACAACTTGAAAAAAATTATGCTTTAAGGATTGTTGAGGGATTATTAGAAAAAGGACAAAATTTTTTTATTTTTATCCAAATTGGCATTTTTGGACATTTCTGGCCCAAAACATGAGAATTGGCATAATTGGGAGGTTGGTTAAGTTTTGTTTAAATTGTATTGGTAAGAAAAATAAAAATTTGTTTTAAAATATGGGAGTCTGGAGCTGAATTCCAATATTTGGGCATAAAAAGGCATTTTTTTGATTATTATATGCTTTTGGTTTGTTTTATGGGTAACAATAGAACTTGGAAAAACTTTTTCCAAATCATCAATCTGACAGAAAATGAACGAATTAGTGAAGTTTTACAAAAATTGTTGGTCATCAAACAGAAACAAAAAAGTAGAGGGACTCACTAATTTACAAAAAAATTGAAAAATAGATGGTAATTAGTTAATACTCGAATTAAAATGTTGCATTGAACTGTTTGAAATTATACAAAATCTGTCTCAATACAAGTATCATAACACAGACTTCAGTTGTCAGTTGAGATTCAACACTATGGGTCAATATTTGAAAATAGTGAAATGGACAATTTTTCAAACAGATGAGACAGAACAACATGAAATCATGTGATATTTTCAAGCCAAAAGTTGAATTATTGTATTATTTAAAAATTGTATTGCGCATTTAGACACATTGCTATGATATACTTTCAGAATTAAACATTTCTTTGATGAAACAAAACACTAGTTATAAAATATTAATTTTTTTTTTTTTTTATAATATTAGGAAAATAAAATCTTTACTTCTACTTTGGCTATCATCTCGTGTTTTATCAATTGAATATTTTTTCTTTTTGCCTTCCATCAGCATGGCTAACGTTAACCTTCAGGAGAGCAACTCATTGAACCTTCTTGGGCTAACGTTTTTTGCTGACAAAGTAGAAAGATTCTATTGAATCAATTACTAGATCTGCTGCTAAGAAAATCTTACTTTATCTTACCACATTTGAAAGATTTTTTTTTTGTGGTCTGTTCCAAGTCATTAGGTATAAACACGCATCATGGATTGCTACAATAATTTTGAATGCTAAGAAATGACAGAGTATATATGATTAAATAAAATCAAACGTTTAAGCAGGTAAATAAATGTATGACCAAACAAGAGAAAATGTGCAGAGACTGAAAAACTGAACACAGATGAAGTAGATATTGATAGCTGTAAATGATTTTAGGATTAATAAGTTTACTTAGGTGATAAATGAAATATCGAATTGGACAAAAAGGTTTTTCACTTATTAAGCAGAAATAAACAACTTATTAAATCAGATTAATTTTTTTTGACCAACCCAATGAATGAATGCAAATTTCAAGCTTGATAAGCCACAACTAATAATTCAGATTACAATAGAGTTTGGAGCAGAATTAGACCATTAATTGGAGAATAACAATGTAGTCTTTGTTGGAATCAGAAATCCAATTTTCATGGTCAAAATGCCTTCTTAAATGAAATGCAAGAAGCCACACACTATATTTCATATGACCTATATAATTTCTCAATTTTTGAAAAACTAATGAAGGGATTCACAGAAATAATTTTTACCAGTATTTGAAATTAACATGGTCTTGGGAACAATAAGCCACCACTTTGGGATCACTGGTAAAGGTTTTTGGGACAATACAAAATTTTTAATGAAAAATTTCTATTATATTTATTCTAAAAGTAACTAATTTCTTGAAATAAAAATTCCTACTAATAGTGCAGCACTTTACAAATGGAGAGGAAAAAAAACTCACACAAACAACAACTTTAGTCCATTTTTTTTAAATGATTAAAGAAGCTTGAATGACAACTGAAAGTTGAAGGACCTTAATTTAGACATTTGTATTATCTTTAAATGTGAAGAACATTAGGATCCAATTGAAAAAACTAATTTTGATTCAATAAAGGAAACAAGAAAATAGATTTTTCTGTCAATTTTTGTTCCTTTGATCAAGGCCAATCATAGCTATCCTATACATCCTTATAAATGTGAACTTCTTCCATCTCCCCATTTGTTCATTTCTGAAAGTTTCATTAAAATCCAATAATCATCTATTTTTGAAAGAATTTCCAAATCAATGAGTTTTTCACTGAAAGTGAGAAAAAAAGTTTCCATATAAATTTAAAGTCTCGAGGTTTTAAAAAGAATAAAGATTTTACAAAGAATCCTTTGATCTTTCCTCTTAATAATGACAGATTTTGACAAAGTTAATTTTATTAGGTTTTGGACATTTTTTCATTTTTTTAAAGCAAATCTTTGATGGTGTATAGCTTTCAAATAAAACCCAAATTTAACTTCAAAGATGATACTTAAATATTTTAATTGCATTTTTCCAGTAAGTCTATCACGGCCGCCTTTGGCCATCCCTAAACCGGAAGAGAACAAGTCATTTCGACCTTGACCCTTCAATCGTGTTCCCTACACGCTGCTAATTATGTGGTAGAGACTAGCTAATTACCTTTTTAGTTCAGTTGTATTACGAACCTAGTCGTAATATACTTCTAAGCATTTTTAGGCCTTGGTTTTCGTGTAGCAAATCTCGACTCATTTTTTAGATAGATTTTACAGTATTAGCTATACCAATTCTGTTGCTAGTCTCCCTTACCATAATACAGTGACTTCTCGGCGACTGAAATGGTCGGTATGCAGACTCCTGGTCTCCGACCCTCTGAATTACGCTCCCATTTTTTTTTTGTCTGCCAACTTGACGATAGTTGGAAACCTTTCTTTCTCTTTACTTCGCCTCTTACTTCTGGCTCCTTGCCCATGTTTGACTCTCGGCATTCCATCCCTACTGGCTGCCTGCATGTCGTCCATAACCTTTCCTATACACTACGTTTGTAATTATTACGGAAGGTTTCAATATTGGACTCGACCAGCAGACACGCAACGCCAGTTCCTCTTTCCTTCCCGACACGTTCAGTTGGAAACCAGACCCGCCAACATACAGCGATCATCTGCGATGACCAGCAGTGATCATCGGTGACGACCAACCAACCTCCCCCGTATACTACCTGTTGTAATAACTACAGGAGGTTTCAACACTGACCTAGACCAGCCTCCAACCATCGACACGACCGGAACGTCAGCATCCAGACTAACCGTCGACACGACCAGAACGTCAGTGCCCCGACTGACCACCATTACTCTTTCTTTATATAATAAATTTGTATTAATCCCATATATATCCTCTGTCATCTGTGTTGCTTCACCTTCTCAGATTTAACGTTTTCGATACGAGAAATGTTAGCGGACCTCTTGTGACCTCATCACCTTTGTGATACCCCCCGTATCACAAAGGCTCAGGCCGCGCTTTCAAATTCTTTTGATGTAAGACTTTTTTGGTTCTTTGTTGTCATACCCACCAGCCCCATGAACACACCTGGAGCAGGCCTCTTGAGTTGCGCTTCTCTTAGTGGGACAATCACTTACACTTCTCCAGACAGACAATTCCTCTTCTGAGGAATCTTTAGGCTTTTGAGTTGTCTTCTTCTGAGGAGATACCAGGTGCACCTCTAACAATGACTAACCTTTTACTTCCTAAAGGTGCACTGCTTGTCTCACTTGCTGATGTGCCAGAACCAACAAAGAGGTGCAAATCCTTCATGTGGCACAGTATCCCTTCTTTTTGTTTTTTGTAGGCCTCCGTCAGTCAGGGCTGACTATGAGTAGGATCCTAATTGTCTGCTTGGCTTGAGCATAGACATCTGACTGTAGAGGCTGATGAGGGAGTGACAATCTCTGTTGAAGAAGTCGCATATGTGTTCTGATAAAAATTTATCTGGTCTGTTGGAGCTGTCATTTTGCTTTTTGTGGGCCCACCTTTCTGTGGTGACTTGTGTCAGCTTCTCCTCCCCTGATTTGAGGTGTTTGGTCAGGGTTCCTCTCCATTCAGACTGTATGGCTGCCAGGCTCTCCCAGGACACTGTGTTGATGGCCACAGCTGTGGCTGCCCAGTGGGTCTCCTAGCAGCCACCTCTCCATACAGGAGGTCTTTGGGGATGCAGCTGTCTGGCATGTGATTGACGTGGCCCAAACACAGGAGGTTGTGCTGTCTGAGCAGTGTGAATATGCTGGGCAAATCTGCTCAAGACAGGACCTCAGTGTTGGGCACCTTATCTTGCCACGCTATTCCTAGGCTGTGGCGCATGCTTCTCATGTGAAAAGTGTTCAGATGTCTTTCTTGTCTGGTGTATGTGGTCCAAGCCTTGCTGCCATATAGCAGTGTGCTGATAACGCAAACGCTATACACTGCCATTTTGGTCTTCATCAACAACTTGGAATTGGTCCACACACACGTTTTGTGAGGCATGCAAGTGTTGTGGCAACCTTCCTAAATCTTTTGTCAATCTGTCTATAAAGAGAGTTTGTCAATGATGGTGAAGCCAAGGTACATGAATTGATGGACTGCATCAAGCTCATAGTCATCAATGGTGATGGCTGGTGGTGTCTCAGTACCTTGTACCAGTAGGTTTATTTTTCTTTTTCAGGCTGATGGTCAGCCCAAAGTCCTCTGCAGGCCTGGGAAAAAATTGTTCATCAG